AAATAAAGGGCTGTTGTAAAGTAGCGTTTTTGATTTCTGCATGCATTATATAATCAGGAAATTATTCTTTTGGTGCAGATAGTACAGTAAATTCAAGAAGTGAAAAGAAGTTAATAACAAGAAAAGACAAAATAATTAGGAATTAAGACTTCACTTTGGCCGAGAGCAGTGGCTCACGTCTGTAATCCCAGCACTTTGGGAAGCTGAGGCGGGCGGATCACCTGAGGTCAAGAGCTCGAGACCAGCCTGACCAACATGGAGAAACCCTGTCTCTAATAAAAAAATACAAAAATTAGCTGGGCATGGCGGCACATGCCTGTAATCCCAGCTACTTGGGAGGCTGAGGCAGGAGAATCGCTTGAACCCAGGAAGCAGAGGTTGTGGTGAGCCAAGCTCATGCCATTGTATTCCAGCCTGGGCAATAAGAGCGAAACTCCACCTCAAAAAAAAAAAAAAAGACTTCACTTTACAAAACAGATTCTTAAAAATGAAATGGTAATAAACTAAATCTCTCTTCTTTAAATCTCCCAGCCTTTTGCTTTCATTATATTTCTCCTTGTTTCACAGTTTTCTGTGTCTCTGTCTTCTCTTCTAGAACATAAGCTGCTGTATGGCAGAAGACCTACTTTATTCGTGTTCAGCCCTTCACAGTGCTTTGCCTAGAAAGGCACTCAATAAATATGTATTAAATTAAATTATGTTTTTAATATATTGGATGAATATGGTAAATACTTAGCTGAAGTAATCAATCCAACTCAATTTAGCTTTTTGTAAATTCGAATTTTAGATAAATCCCTAAATTCCCTTCCTTTATAAATGACATGGAGGATTATGGTGTCATGTAGAATCTGTGAAAAATCTAACCAGTAAGAAAAGAGTGTTCTTATCTTGAAAGAAAGAAAACTATCAAATAGTAAGTATGTAGTTTTATTCTGATCTATTAGAATTTCTCTATCACTCATTCATTTATTTATTCATTCATCATATATTTAATGGGTATCAGATATGTCCAACCTTTGTTTATACCAGTATAAATAAGATATAGTTCTTTCTCTGAAGAGTAGAGTATTTATGGTCTACAGAGAAAAAGCGTCAATTACAGTACAGTGGGATAATTGTGGTGATACTGATATGCATACAATGCATCGTAGCATGTAACAAGGACACCTGAATGAATGTTGAGGATCATTGGAAGCTTCTCAGAAGAGGAGTTGGCTAAGCTGAATAGCACAGGCCAAATTTAGGTCAGTCAGGGCAAGGGCCTAAAACTTGTAGAAAAAGCCATTGGAATTTTACATTTATTTAAGAAACTTTATATATCACTTATAATATGCCAGGCATTCTTCTACTTAAAAATAGTAACTCTTCTAATACAAGAATCATAAGAGGAAATGATTATTATTCCCATTTTACAGATTAGGAATCCTAGGCACAGAGAGGATAAGTAACTTCAAAGATCAAATAGCTAACAGGTGGCAGTACTGGGATTTGAACCCAGACATTCTCAGGTAAGAGTTTATGCTCTTAGCATTCCTGATTATATGATGCTGCTCTAAGGCCAGAGGCTAGAGAGCCTGGCTCCTCTCCCCTCACCTCTTCCCCATTTATTCCCTATCTCAGCATTCTATGTGTTTGATTTTGCAACACTTTGCTTATCTGCGTCCTTGCATGCTATCTCATGCTGTCTGTCTTCCTTATTACATTCCAAGCATTGCACGAACAAGGACTCTGAGAACTCATTGAGGGGTTTTAAGCAGGAGAGTCATGCAGTCATATTTGTACTCTAGAAAGAGCACTCTGAAGTAGAGGAAAATGATGTCATTTTCACTATAATATCTATGATTTATCTGATGTTAAACTGGAGGTTTCCGCCCCAGCACATGCCAGAGTGTGTAGATAGACCAAGAAGCAAAAATGTTTCATAGTGAGTGACTGAGGTCTTTTAGATGACACTTAAATGCCTCAACCACATCAAAGGTATAAAAGGGCCTATCATTGGAGATTAGAAGATAATTTTTGGAAAGGAGAGGATTTATCTGAAGAGGCCTTTGCTCTGAGTCACAATCACCCTATCTCGGCTCCAAGGGAGTGGGAGACACCCCTAACCTCCAGCCCATAAACTCAAGGAAGAATTTTCTGGAGAGAGCAATAGCAGGTGCTGGACCCTCAACTCATGCCTGTGAATAACAGCTTCAATAGGACTACTCCAAGAACTTAATGTTTGTCCTCTGCAGTTTAGGTTGGTGTCTGAGTCCCACCTGAAAACCTACAAGAAACGAGATAAGCTGATTAACTTTTCTGACAGGATGCAAAGAAAAGAGGCTGTGCTGAGAAGGGGTGGCAGGTTTGGAGTCCTTGTATTCCAGAATGTGTGAGTGTGGAGCAAGGACCTGGATGAGGCTGTGCATGAGATGCACACACAGAGCTGAACCAGCCAAGGCTGCCCCAGGTCCTTCTAAGAGGAATGCCCAGGGAATCACTCATACCTTGACAGAAGCCCGAGGTTTTGCTGACTGCACAGGGCCTAAGGAATCAGCCTAAGCAGGAAAGCACAGGTGATAGACCCTCGCTGATCTGGGGGCAGACAGGAGGAGGGGGTTTCCGAGAATGAAGGCATCCGTGGTAGAATGAGCCTGCTTCACCTACCTGCCAAGTCCAGAGAGAAAGTGATGCCAGCCACCAGGTGAGTGCCAGGCAAGTGAGAACTCCCCCGCCACCCTTACAGATTAGAATGTGACAATGTCTTGAGACTTAAAGTAATACCTTTACTTCTTCTTTATGATCTGAATGTGACCAGAGAATTTCATGGAGACTACCATTCCTTACAAAGGGAAGAGCTTCCCCAATCGAATCCATTTAAAGGGATAGTGAGAGACAAAAATAAAGATGCCCTATGATTACATTAGTTAATCATACTAGAGATACACCCAAGGTATCCTGCCCCAACCCTGTCAAAAGCCAAAGCCACGACCTATAATATAAGAGCTTCAGAAGCTCCAGCCACCCCTCAAATTGCCCAGGAAATCCCAGGTGTCACTCTAAGGTATTCGTAAAGCATTTTAAGTTGGCGAGTTTCCTACAGCAAATTGCCCCATTCAACCAGGGGCCTTGAAGCCTCAGCGTTCTCTCCCAGTCTCAGCCTGAGGGCCTGACACAGCAGCCTTCTCCAAGAGGTTACTACGAAGGACTGAGGACACTCACACCACTTTCTGGCCCATGCACAAGGAACAGGACTTAAGTCACACATTGCTGGACCTGCAAACCCACACCAGGCCTGCCTGCATCTTCAGCCTCGCCTCTTGCCACGTTGTTTCCAACTTTGTTCCCACAATACAACTACTAATATTACTCACAGTTGCTTCAACAATGGAGAATTTTAGCTCCTTTACACTTGATCCTCCTGTACCCTTGGCCATTTGCATTGCTGCTCCTATATCTAGAACCCTCTCTGCTCCAACCTGCCTTTTATCTGGAAGTGAGTGTGCGATTATGAGCATGACTCCTGCAAAACAGGCTGGCTCCGAATCAGACTTCCTCTATTAAGTATTTTTCTGACCTTAGGTGAGAGACTTAATCTTTGTAACCTCAACTTCCTTATCTGTACAATGAGGATAGTAATATTATTTATTCCATTAGGTTGTGCTGAGGATTCAATGACATGAACAAAAAATATTTAGCCTATGGCCTGGCATGTTTAAGTACTCAATAAACATTTCTTGAACAAATTAAATAACTGGGCAAGTGGGCCCTGGTCTATCCGGTTTCCTCACAATGGAAAGCTATTCCCTCTACCATCTGCCTGGAAAATTCTTACTGACCTGCAAAACCTGGACCAAGTGACTGGGTTCATTATTGAAAATGCATAAACTCATTATACTGACATCTTGATTTCCAAGATGCATTAAGTGAGAAAACTGCAAATTGGCACCTCTGTGAAAGAAAATTATCACAGTAACTTTTGTGTAGAAAGAAGGGGAAATAACATGTAATAAGTATGTGTGTGCATTTATTGTTTAAGACTGTAATTCAATGTGAACCAAACCACTAGGTGACTCAGTTAAATTTATTTAAAAATCCATTTTACCAAAAAGAGAGGAGGAGAAAGACAGGGAAAACAGAATTTGCTTTGCGCCAAGCACCAAATTAAACACTTCATATCCATGAACTATTGCGATCTTCACAGTCCTGCAAGGCAGTTACCATTTTGCAAATGAGAAAACTGGAGGTCAAGGGTCAAGCAGCTAGTAAGTATAGAGCTGGAATTCAAACTCCCCTAGGAGTCGCAAGCCCTTCATCCTTTCAGTCACACAGTGTGGCCTCTGTATAGTGCCAAGTTTGGTGCTTGACACAGAATGGATATGCCCGACTTCTACTTCATCATTATACTTATTGATAAAAGCATTCAACAGTATCACCCAGTACAGAGTCTTGTTGCAAACCAATAGAGACCCGCTGAAACCGGACACAAATTGTTTTATGGTGGTTCTTGGATACAAGTCTTCAGCCAGTTATGAATTCACATAAACTCACCATATTTTATTTCCATGTATTTCTATATGTATAACCCAACACTTCATTAAATTCTGCACTGAACGCTATAAAAAATGCAATGAATTTATTTTGGCATGAATTGTTTTAATAAGTCAATGCTGATTTCTAATTATTACTACTTTCTATGTTCAATACTTGCAGTCATGAAAACAAGCTGATAAGCTTAGTATAATTTTCTTAAAAGTTTTTAGAAAATTGTCTTAAGGTCACTAGCTTCTTTTTATTTCCCGCAGTCTACTTAAAAAAAAAAAAAAAAAAACTGTAACAACACTAACTTATATCTATTTTTCTAGGGCAAGGGGGAGACATTTCCCATTTTCCATAGCTTTCCATATTTTGGAGAACAAAACAGATTTTGCAAACCAAATATACAAAATTTCTATGCTATAAAAATGAAATTTTCTGTTTGGATACTTAACACAAGTTAAAGAAAATGAATGTTTTCCTACCATCAGGTTACCAATCTTGGGCTTCAGTCCCATCATACTGGTGATGTTTGTCTGCTCCTTTCAAATGTGAAGATCCTGGATAGAGAAGATATAAATACAGTCAATAATTATACATTCTCTGTGATATATTTTTAAGGTAACACTATCTGTGCCAGGACCAGGTCTCCATTACTCTACTTTTTCTGAATATTGCTTTTAAAATCATTTTTGTGTTAATCAGTATTTTTCACAAGCCTCAGATCATTTCTAGCTTTATACTTGTTAAGAGCTTTGAGGTACTTTTGTTGTCATTGTTATTGGTCTGTGATAATGTGTCCCTCCTCCCATCTTATTTATACACCCTTTTGAACTCTGGCATCAAGGACGAGTGAAGTCATACAAGTGAAAATATTTCTGTAAGCCAATGTTATTAGAGCCTTAAATTTAAGTGACATGGTCCGATTGGTGGAAGAACTTAGGGTTTGAAAATATTATAAAACATCGTAATATTAGCACATCCTTCTCTGCTTCCCTTTCTCCTGTTTTTCATTCCCTGTAATTCATGAATGATGACGCTAAGAATTAATCTTCTAAACAGAGCCTATCAACAGAAATATTACAGTTGGAAGAGGGTATCTCTGTTTCTATAACCTAGACACTCACTCATCAGATGCTTGTAGACAGGGTCACTTTTATAATTGTCAGCTGGGAAGTCGGCATGCCTTTTTCAGAGGTGGACTAATTTGTTTTGAAAACCAGATTTTGGACGAGTCAAACTATAGGGCAGAAGCGAATCATTTGCAGGGCTGGGAAGATTATTTGCTCCCCTGGGACCACTTTTATTTGCTTGTCCTACATCTTCTTGAGTGTCATATGGGATTCAGTTCATCATCCTTCTCTTGTGAAGAATCTATGTTGAAATTTCAGTATAAAGGGAGATCAGTAGGCATTCAGTTGCTTTAAACCCAGAAAGCCATTGATTTGCTTATTTAATCTTGTTCAAATCAGTGTTTTTTTGAAAACAAAACTAATAGTAAAAAGAGTTTCAAGAGGATATTTTTCCTAGACCAGATTTAAATGAAAAAAACCTCTTTTTTATTATTCTTAAGAGACAATCCTCTTTGCTATATTGCATCCAAGAAGCCACAATTTCTTCCTCAGCTAAGACATCATCATATCTGCTTTGACTTGTCTTACAACAAAGCAAGTATTTGCAAAAGGATTAAGAGTATTCAAGACATTGTAAGAAGCGTGAGTAGCTCTCCTATCATGGGCATTGACTTTAACACCCAGTTCCCTGGACTGTGCTATTATAAGTGGTGCCTTTTTCAAAGCCCTTTTCCATATCCATGCACAGGTGGAGAGGGAGTTAGGGTCTACTGTCATTTCCATTTCCTGCTCCCTGCGAAGCCTCTCTTTCTATCCTTTAGTCTCAGATTAAAATAGAAGACTCCCAAGCAGTAAAAAAGCTCATTAGCAGAAACAATTTCTATTTCCAAGACAGAATCTGTTTATTTCATGAGAGAAGAAATTGATGGTAGTTAATGTCTAATGGAGAAAATTGTCCTTTGGACTGGACTACATCAGGGCTACTATAGGAATGAATCATACATTGGACTCCGATTTTTTTGTATCTGCATACCTTTACAATGTGTTGCCTTTTCCTGACTAAGCAGATTGCTCAATGTTAACAATGTGAAGGAATGAAAAACAGAAATCTATCCAAGGACAACAAGTGCCTTGTAGCAAGTTTGTATTACCAATGCCCAACAATGGGTACTGCCTGGCTAGCCCATAGTATATTTGTAAAATTAATTCCTTTTTTGATTTATTTTGTTTCTTCAGACAAGAAATGAGGGGGCATTGACAAGACCTCTTGAAAAGTAAGGCACCAAGAAAATAAGAACACCTTCTGCCACTTAAACTCAAAAATAAGCAAAATAGGCCAAAACAAACAAACTTGAATTCCCCAATGGCTCACAGCCTTGCAAATCTAGTGCTAGCTCTCTCACACATTATATAATTTTAAAGAATTTGTGTAACTTCCTCGAGACTTTCCTTTTCCATATATAAAATTAAAAGGTTAATCTAAAATATCTTAAAGCTCCTTCTTAGTTCAAGCATACCATGTATCCAAAGCAACTCCCTTAAATATCTTGAAAAGTATTGTCCAAGCGTAATTTTTATGGGAACTCTCTCCCTTTGAAGAGAATACATGTAGGAGGCCAACAATTTCAGGGTATCATACATTTCAGGATACTATACTTCTCACCTCATGGGCTCAATAATCTTTTCTACTATTCCATTTATATGCCTGTCCTCCCCTTCTTAGCATTTGGTTCTTTTTATGAACCAATTAAAGAGTTCAGAGGGGTAAAGTGACCTGTCCAAAGTCACACAAAGTACCTAGGGATGAGGTCTAAATTTTTGTTTTGTTTTCTTTCCCAAGTTTCTCTTTGTGTTAAATGTGACCTTATTAAATGGTGTCATATTTATCACCATGACAAGACTTTTTGGGTTCCTGCTGGGCACACAGTAAGTTACCAGATCCCATGGGAATTTATGTGGCTCACAAAAGGCATGACTCCCACACATCAGCTTTCAATCTAAAATAATCCCATCTGTTTGACCTTTTGAGTACAGTATGTAAACATCTGTCCTTCACTAAGTAAATAATATCACTATCATTCAATTTAAATAGTCTTTACAGGTAAAGAAACAGAGATTCAAAAGAAGTTAATTAATTTCTCCAAGACCATATGTCTAGAAATTACAAAGACTAGCACTAGACTGCAAGGTCTTCTTTCTTTTTGTTCAATTGATTTTGACCTAAACCATTTTACTTCTGAGCTGCATGGTACAGGGGAAAAAAAATCAAAATCCTGTACAACTCAAAACCTTTTCTCTTATACATTAAAAATAGACTTCCCAAGTCTCAGAGATCACAGCAGAGCCATTTTAAATCTAGCACAGTGAGTATCACAATCTCTCCTGGATGAAACAAACAGTGTACTTCTATCATTAACCGAGCATCTTCTAAGGTTAGGCAAAGAAAAAGCTAGGATTCCTGGGGACCATAAGACAGGGTAAGCCATGAGCCCCGCCCTCCATTTGGAGAGGCAATGCATATGGACTCTTAAAAAGACATCTTGTAGTGTAAGGTAGTAAGTGAATAGAAAGCGGCACTTCTCCAGATTCACTAACGCTCATATTTATTAAGTATTTTCTATATGTAAGTTACTGAGTGTTACAATGACTGCTAAAATTCTTTTAACAGTGTTGAGTAATCCCTAAGAGAAAACTGAAGAAAGAACCAAACCGAGGCGAGTAGATCACTTGAGGTCAGGAGCTCAAGACCAGCCTGGCCAACATGGCGAAACCCTGTCTCTACTAAAAACAAAAAAATTAGCTGGGCGTGGTGGTGGAAGCCTGTAATCCCAGCTAGTCAGGAGGCTGAGGCAGTAGAATTGCTTGAGCCCAGGAGGTGGAGGTTGCCATGAGCCGAGATCACACCACTGCACTACAGCCTGGGCAACAGAACGAGAGTCTGTCTCAAAAAAAAAAAAATTCTTAACGAAGGAGCATTCTTGACAATGGAGCATTATACAGTGTTCCATGGGTCTGTGCATGCACGTGTGCATTTGTTCCCTCTTCTCACTATCGCTGCTGTTAATTAAATTAATTATCCTGTCAAGGATACCAATATAGTAGCAGAATTACCCAAACAGTATCTCATTATAGATGAAAAGGACCTTATTAGATTCTGCTATGGTTTGAATGTGTCCTCCAAATTTTATCTATTGGAAACTTAAGCCTGAAATTTATTATGCTGATTGAAGGTGGAGACTTTGGGATGTATTGAGGACTAGATGAGGTCAACAGAGTGGGCCCCCCCATGATGGGACTGGTGGCTTTATAAGAAGAGAGACCTGAACTGACACACGCACTTTTGTTCTCTAGCCATATGATGCCTTTACACAGCAAGAAGACCCTCCCAAAATGTGGCCACCTGATCTTGGACTTTCTGGGCTCCAGAATCATGAGCTAAATAAACCTCTATTCTTTATAAATTACCCAGTCTGTGGTGTTCAGCTATAGCAACAGAAAATGGACTATGACAGATACTTAGTCCACATTTCTGCCTTTCCTTCATACAGAATTATTTCCCTAACATCCCTCACATAAGTGCTGAGCCTCTGTTTGCATATTTCTATTGGAAGGAGGTTACTCTTTCTTGAGCTACCACATTCCACTTGAGAAACTAACTCTAACTACTAAAATATTTTTCCTTATGTATTAGTATTCTAAATTTTAGGACATGTGCCATGACAACCCTAGGATTCAGATGTGTCTCTCAAGCCAGTGGAAGTAGTAGAGTCAGGCTAATCCATGGAAGAGAGATTCAGGAAACAAAGGTTTGACTCAAAGACAATAAGATGGTGTCAGAGGGTGGGGCCTATTTGAATACACCACATTGACAGTTTTTCATATATTCCTCCAGCCCCCAGGCACTCAATACTGAGTCCTTTGACACAACATGTACACTGAAGAGAAGAAACAATAACACAAATCTCCACATAAGATGTTAGGATCACAGGTTAATCCTAATCTACTGTATACAGCTTATATTGGGGTTTAGACACAAGTCGACTACAGGCAGCAGATCAGGGCTAGAATTCTTTTTTGAGCAGAGAGCAGGAGTAGCCTACAACTGGATTGGGAAAGAAGGAAGGATATCATGAAGTGGCTCTAGGTTTTTAATCAATCAGTGACCTCAACCAATGATATTGCCACAGTGAATCAGAACGAGAGAGAAGACACATGCTGGACAGAATGCAGAAAGTAGCTGAGAAGACTCTTCCAAACATGAAACTTTGTCTGGAGGATTCTCAACGCTATCTGAAATGAATCTGAGAAGATGAGACATTCTCAAGAGCAAGAGGGAGCTGAAGTAGGAAAATGTTTCACCACTGCATTCTAGCCAGGGCAACAGAGTGAGACCTTGTCTCTAAGAAAAAAAAAGAAAGGAAGAAGGAAGGAAGGAAGGAAGGAAGGAAGGAAGGAAGGAAGGAAGGAAGGAAGGAAGGAAGGAGAGA